TAATTTAATCAAAAAAAACATACCTACAATATTTGCGAGTTTCAAATGATCAACAGTGTAAGTACCAGTTCTTAATGCTGTGCTATCCATGAACTGATCATTGTAAGATAATGACTTTCCTAATCTTATTAAAATATTGTTATGAGAGGATTTGTATATAATCATGGATATAGTACATATTACTAGCGATGTACATGCTACGCCAGTTACTATAATAAGCAACAATCGTTCATAGTTTGACTGTTCAAGATATTCTGTAGCTGAAAAATATTACAAAATAATGTATTTTAAAAAATGTTTTCTGATTATCATTTCTATGAAATATCAAGCTATGAAATATCATTTCTATGAAATATCAAACTAAAAGTAAATATTCTGCTATATAATAATTGCTATTAATGCTGTTATCTTACTTGGCTGACTCTTTTGCGATGAAAGAGGATTAAATATTTTGTTGTCTGGATCTGCAAGATTGGAGCTTGTAATATTGAGATTACAGAAATCTCCGTGACAGCAACAAAACTTTGTGTTGTTCAAAGCTTTTGTAGATCTCTGGAGTGCAACACATTCTGTATTTTCGCATTTTTGTTCACCGGATTGTTTCCAACAACCTAGTCCATATCAAAAAAGTAATATAACATTTTATATTTATGTGCGTAAATAATGATCATTTATGCATAATGAACTCCTACATGATATATACCTTGAGACAAAATAGTTATTTCAGTGCCATTTGCCGTTTTATCTTCTTGCCATAAGGCATGGCAGAAATTATTACATATTTCGAATTTCACATCTTCATTTATCTAAAAGTTAGATATATATTTTAAATATTTTGTAGTTAGTGTGAACATTATTTATACTATATAATTTTAAAATCATCATTTTCAAAAAGCACACTAGCTTATTATAAAAAAACATACATTATGATCATTGGATGTAACTTCAGGTACACCTGCTGAATTCTGCTTCAAAGAAAGATTTTCAACATTTTTCTTTCTACTGGCACATTTCCTAATGGCATTGATAGGGGCTAAGCTTATGCCACACAGCAGTGTGATCAGCACGATTGATACAATGGCTCTCATTATGCTTTAGCAGGCCTCTTGAACCAGAACCACTTCAACAGAAGCAGAGCTCCTTAAGAATTAGCATCTTTCATCGTAGTAAAACAAAGCTGCCGTTGAGATTCTGAGTTCATCTGCTCGTCGTATATAATGCAAAAAAAAAGATTAATATAAATATAAAGCATCAAAATTTTAATTTGACAAGGCTCTCAGATTCAATAGAATTAATTTTCGATGTGAGATATGGGCAATTGAGAAGAAACACAGTTAAATTTAGCATATATCTATTTATATATAATATCAAATAATAAATTAATATAAATAATTAATAACATTTAATTTAAAAAATTATATATTGCATATTCTCATCTTATTTGTATTTTTGCTTATAAAGATAAGAAAATTATATGAAAAATATTATTAGTCTTTGTGGTGTTTAAAGACAATGAAAGTACACAACTTAAATTTTGTATTCAAAGTCATCATGAATAAAATATATTCTTTCTGAATTTCGAATAACATTGATCTTCATATCAGACATTAAATATTAATCATATTACGCAAAATTGACTTTTTTTTAAAACTTTTTATCGTAATATGGACATACATACAGCATTCAATATACATATCACACTCACTTCCTGTTTGTAATATATCAATTTTTTTGAATTTTATCAACGCAAATATAACATATATGTTCAACTCTTTTTTGCAATATACTGCCAATTTTTTTTCAAGTTTATCAACACAAATATATGTATATATAATGTACATATTCAATGAACACACTCAACTCCTTTTTACAATAAATTGTCAAATTTTAAATCTAATTCCCACGACTGTACGCAGTAATTCTCGCAGACGTTTAAGCTGTTCCGTGGTATCGTGTCACGCAAATCTAACGACCAGAAAGTAATGCGAGATCTCATCTGTGACATGACTGATTAATCGGAGTTCTTTACATGGTCAGGCGAACGCAATATTGAGCGGCGGGAGAGGATCGCGGGATGTCAAAGGAAGAACAATGTACTTTTAACGACGCGAATGGGAGTATGTTAACACGTCGCACGTCGGGATTTCCTACACGCGTCCCGTGGGAAATTCGCGAGATTGGAAAAGGGGAGAAACATCGCGCGTACAGGGTGCGCGATGTGCATTACAAATGAAGCGACATACACTTACATTCTGCTCGGCGGTCCTCGTGGAAGCCCAATGTGATTCACGCGCGTTATTGTGGCCACCGTCGGATGCGACATCGCACCATATCCTCAGAACGCCGCCAAGCTCATTCGAAAGAAGCGTCGCGTGAATCCCGTATATTTGACAGGCAGCCCGTGTCGGTGTCCATTGGGTCGCGTCCTGATCGCGCGTCCGCAAACGCATCGACGGCGACGCGGCTGCTTATCGTACGGTTGCCGCTCGTATGGCGCGAAATTTTAAACCTTCTGTCGACGATGGCTGCGTTCCACAATTTACTGCCAGTACTGAAAATCTATAGTTTACATCACGTACACTATAGATTTTCAATACAAGTAATTCAATACAGTAAATTTGAGAACACAGCTGATGTTAGGAATCGCTCCGAGAGCTCAGAGAGAAAAAAAAATAAATCACATTTAAACATTTGAGGCATTTTAAAAATTGTTCAATTCTTTCTCATCCGAGATCTTGGAACAATGATTCAGCAGAACCTTCTTTTTGTTACGCTTTTCTTTGCTGAGATAAAACTATTTCTCTATATTTATATATATATATATAAAAGTATAATCCAATTAGCGCGAATAAAACTTCCAACAGTTATAAAATAAACATTCTGCTGAACGCAACTAATGACTGTGTTTTAGCAACAAAAAAAAACAGCTTTGCAACTGTTGTAAAATCTTGTAATGTGATGATCTTGCCCTTAGTTCTTCACTAAATTTAAATGTATAAACCAATCGATCCCCTATAAGCGCAAAATATTATTTAATATGAAATAATATCTTAGGCATATTCTTAGAATATTAAATGTAACATTTTAATATTTTACTAAAATTATATAATATTACATGATATTCTCGAAATATTAATGGAAGGTTATATGTCCACTCCTGATAATATTATATGATTATTAAAAGTAACATTTATTTAATGTTACTGCATCAGATTGATTAGACGTAGGTATGTGTACAATCAGTAAAAAGGTTGCAACACTTTTTTTTAACGGATTTCAGAATTCAGCCTACTCATCGAGCGATTGGTTCTTACTTATGGATCCATAAGTAAGAACCAACTCGATGAGTAGATTGCATTCTGAAACCTATTGAAAAAAAAGCGTTGCAACTTCTTAGAGCGGTATTCATAGTCCGTTCTTATTTTAAGATCGTCTTAAGTAATATTTTAAGACGCTAATGCGGCTTTCTGATTGGTTCATGACATCTTAAGATTGTACTTAAGACGGTCTTAAATATAAGATTCGATTATGAATACCGCGGCCTTAATTACTGACCATACAAAGAATACATGTGCCTTTGAAGATTAGTTTTGACTATACAATAAAAAATGTTTTCTGTTGTTTTTATTAACATCAATATGGCGATTACATTGTTACAATCGTTAAAATTGATAGTTCTTAATAACAACATACACATATAGACTCTCGTACACATATACTTTATACTTTCGTACATCCCAGCAAACGAGAATGGATTGAAATGAATTCAGATTTTTAGAAATATGGATTCACGAATGTTAAAATGAATGCTTTTCAATCCTGAATGCATTTTTATTCATTTATAGGAATTACATGGATCATATCTCTATGCCTTTCAATTTAAAAATAATATCAGCTTTTTCTGTGCATTGTGAATACTGTTCAATTCAAAATTTTGAATAGGAAATGCAGTTTTTCAATCCAATTGCATCCAATTGAATAAAAAAAAAGTATTTAAAATACGCATTTAAAATTATAAATGTAAACCATAATAAATAACAATGATCTGCGGAAATAATATTTTGATTATTTTATAAAGATGTCGAAGAGCATTGAGAACGAGCGAGTAATCTCGCGAGCAAAGAGAAGAGAGATTCGACTGTTAGACTCCCGAACAAAAAAGACCTGTAACCGAATGCCGAAGAATAATTTATAAACCAATCGCGAGTTGAACTGCTTATTTCGCTTCGCCATAAGTCTCAATCCTTTATTCACAGCCTTAAATACGCTAAACAGGTTTTTTTACAAACAGTCATGACGGAAAAACAGCAATATTATATCTTATAAGGTACATGAGAAACACTTATATCTTAGGATCGTATGTGAGAAACACTATCCATAGAAATACAAGTATTTAAGATCCAGCTAGACCGTTTAAGGAAAAAGAACACTTTTGGCAAACATTACAGGAAGATCTTTCTCCGTGTCATTTAAAATACAGAGTAAAAATATACAGAATGTTTAATATTATTGATACAATGCTTGTATGCAAGTAAAGCTAAACCGAGTCGGAAAGTCTTCTACTATTTTGCAAATTTCGCAATAGTCGAGTTATTAATTATTAAAGATCGCTGAATAATACTGCCAAGTGCGAGATAGGACCACTCACCATCATTTTTTTTATTTAAATGTTTATCGTAGTAATTGAATAGTATACAATTTCCAATAAACAAAGATTAAACTTACAGACTAGCTTAATCTAATATAGGCTGAATAGGCTTTCTATTATTCTTCGCAACCATGAACACTAAATTTACTAATTTTATTTCGATAAATTGAGGTAGGTTTATATTAAAACAAACAGATATTCTTAAATTATCCTGACTATGGCTGCCATAACTTGCGGAAGTTAGCGCAATAGACAATCATTTTATATCATGAAAAAGCCGTCCGCTTTTATGAAAAAGCGATAAACTGATTAGGCAACTTTCGCTGCATGGCAAGCGTTCTGTGTGCAGGAGTTATTGATCCACTTTACCTGCATACGAGCATTGTGTAATAATTATCTGCAGATGCCCTGTATAATATATTCAATAGTAATATACAAGGTGTTTCTTAAATAGCGTCCACTAATCATATATAGCGCTATTTCTCATCAAAAATTAAATCAAAGAGTTCTGAGCAATTTTTTTCTACAATGCTTAATGAAGCAGTATTACCAGGGTTGGTAAAAACATGTTTTAAACATGTTTTAAACAATTTAAAACATGCTTAATTGATGTTTTTAATATGTTTTAAACATGGTTTTTTATAATACTGTTTAAAGCATATTTGAAACATTAAAAACATTTAAAAAGAAATGATTTATTCTTAAAAAAAAAACATTAGTCTTTGCCAACTTTGGTTATTATAAGATAAAACAATTACTGATGTGCGCTCGTTCTAAAGAACAGCGCCAATTGAATTAGCTTTACTCTGGTAATAACTGCTTTGAATTTGAGCATTGTAGAGAAAAATGACTCAGGATTTTTTTATTCAATTTTTTATTAGGAATAGCGCTATACGATTAGTGGGCGCTATTTAAGATACATTCTGTATGTAGTCAATAATTCTGTATATAGTAAATAATATTTGAAAAACTTTTAAGATTTTTTTTAACACAATTTCAATATTATTAGATTTAAAAAACGTTAGAATTTGTTATTTCTCATTCTTATTCTTTAAGTGGAATTTGCAAATGTAATTTCATGCTTAAGACGCACATTTAAAAAATTTTTCAAAATTAATTGTATTAATTGACTTCGGTGATCAAACGTCCAACAAATACTATGTTCCATATGTTTATTCATATTAAATATATTTGAAGAAAGTGCACGTAACGATTGACATATTAAATCAGCTAATATATTGTCTGTTTTAAATAATTTGTCTTGATTATGTTTTAAAATTTTTTCTGCTGTCTTGCATATTTCAATAACATCACATGATGCTTGACACAGCGTGTCAATATATGCATCCGATTCCTTTTGTGCTATGTTAGCAATGAGCAATTCTTTACAAAAAAGGCAATTAATTTTGTTTATAACATTAGAAACTATATAGTCAGATATATATGTAATTACTGTTTCAACATATTCAGTCAAGTACCAATTAATTCGTATAAAATAATCATGATCCATATAAATATTTACAGAATCTTGTTTTGCTTCAACATTCACTTCTTGATGCTCATTAAGTTCTTGCTCATTTCTCGTATACTCATCAAATAATATAGTATTAAGTAATACAATGTCGTCGTCGTCTTGCGGAATACAAATGGCATTATTTGTTATCGAACCTGTACCTGTTAACGTTTTTATTACAGATTTCATTGCCATAACTTTCTTTTCTAAACGTTTTTTTTCTGTTATTAAATCTCTGTTTAAGCTTCTAGTATAATGGACGTATCTTACAAATTTAATCCATGAGTCTTCGGTAAAAAACTCGATTTTTTTTAAACATTCTACATTATATTTACCAGTTTTTAACATCATCCTTTCGTTTTTCATAGTCTTAGACCATTTTCTGAAACAAAAAGTTTATTTACAATATTTACAAATTAAAATAAATTAAAATGTCTTTTCGTATTTACCTTCGTTGACTGATGTTACTTCTCGTGACACGTGTGTCACTTCTCGTTACACGTTTGTCACTTCTCATGACACGTGTGCCACTTCTCGTGACACTTGTGCCACTTCTCGTGACACGTGTATCACTTCTCGTGACATGTGTATCATTTTTTGTGACATGTGTGTTACTTTCTGTGATATGTGTGTCACTTTCTGTGATACATGTGTCACTCAAAACTGTAACTTCATTTTGGATATCCATTGGAAATTCGTGTAGGATGTCCATTGATTCATTTTGATTATCATGTTGAATATCCATTGTAGATTTATGAATGCCTATTATTGATTTATTCTGATCGTCACTGCTTGTTGAATCATGCTGTGTTTCAATTATTAAGTCTTTTTTTACATTTTTACAAAATCTATTGTACATAAAAAAAAACATATTAGAAAAACATTTATTTATATCAGATGTTTTATGTATACATTTTTATAAAATATTGTAACTATATTTTAATACAAAATATCTTATTACAAAATATTCTTACCTTTGCATAAAAACAGATGGAACTGCAGTTTTCTTTAATCTTTTACTTTTATTATTATAATCATTTTCTGTAAAGTGGTCACTGCAAATTCGTGCACGCCTGTAAGCACTGATATTACGACCAATGCTTTGAAACCATTTTTCTCGCCTTTTCGCATCTATTGGAAAACTAAAAATATGATGCACAGTTTCACAAACTGAGGCATAATTATATATAGGTCTGTTTTCTGTAACTGAACTAGTGTATACTTTTGGAACTTAAAATGAGGTAAGTGTAGGTCTGTTCTTTTTAGCTAAAGTTCTTGCACAGTTCATCTTTCTTCCTTTTCTCTCCATTGGAGAGAAAAAGAGAAAAGGCAAATCATGCAAGAAGTTCAATTAAAAAGAACAGGCCTCATGTGAGTCTAGTACAGGAACAGAAAACAGATCAATAACTAGAGATGCGGTCTACATAGCGCTACAAATGCTTTGAACATTTGATAGATCAATCAGAAAAAAGAATTTTACTAATTGACCAATCAAAGAATGCTTCAAAACATTTATAGCATAAAGTAGACTACAAAGTCTAGTTATACTTCTAAATTTATAATCTTACCTGTGAAATTGTCGTGGGAATCGAGAACAATATTCTTTCCGACACACACAGCAGTTAATCATCCTATACAATAATATAAAATTAGTCACATGGCGTTCTGTAATAATTCAAGATAATTATATAGTTTGTGATTCAAGATAATTATAGAGTTGAAAATTTATACTTTTTAACCTTTTTATTCTTTTTATGGACATAAAAAAACTTTCAAATTAGAAAAAGGAAGAAAACAAGACTTAAACGACCATCCTCAGCTCGAGGCTACTAGTCTGATGTCAAAGGCTGTGTTCAGAATTATCACCCGAGTGCCTCTGTATATCATTTTATCCTTGTTCACCCAATGTTAAATAAGGATAAGATACACGGAGGTACCCGGGTGATATTTCCGAACGCAGCCAAAGACAGAGAATGGATCCGTGGTCAAAATGGTCGATAAAAGTAAGAGAGAGGGACCGTGGAAGACGGCCAATCTGTATCTCTTTCCATTCAACGGTATAATGAGAGAGAATGAGAGAGAGATTGACTGTCTTCCACGGTTCCTCTCTCTCATTATTGTCGACCACATTTGATACTACTTAGGGCGGAATCCATAGACGTTGCTCAAGATCCGAGATGGTCTTGAGCTAGTACATGAACCAATCAGAGAGCCGTATTAGCATCTTAATCTTAAAGGTACTTCTTCATGTTGACGCTGGACGCTTATTTTCGGCGTCAAAATAAGTCACGTGATAAAGTGCCTTTTCATGCTGACCCTCGACGCTCATTTTTGGCGTCAAAATAAGTCACGTGATAGAAATTGACGAATTTCAAGCGCCAATTTTGATCACATGACCTATTTGACGCTGAAAATGAGCGTCGAGCGTCAGCATGAAAAGGCACCTTTAGCCGGAATCAGACTACGCATTGAAGACTGAGATTGAAGATTGAAGAATAAAATTTGACCAGTGAGGACAAAGGAATTTTAGCTCCTATTGTTTTGATTGATCAAATTTCAATCCTTCAATCTCAATATTTAATGCGTAATCTGATTTCGGCCTTAAGCCCGTATCAGACTACCGACTCTGCAGGCCGACCCGACTGCCAACTCTGACTGCCGATCAATAATGGATCAATCACAATAAGACTGATTCAATGTGATTGGTCCATTATTGGTCAATGGCTACGTTTACACCGTGCATTTAGGCCGCGGCCTATACAATAGATATCCTTGTTTATCCTGTAGGTTAAACAAGGACATCTATTATATAAGCCGCGGCCTAAATGCATGGTGTAAACGTAGCCAATAGCCAGAGTTGGCAGTCGACCGTCGGCTTACAAAGTCGGTAGTCTGATACGAGCTTTAGACATTGACGAGTATCAAGCATCAATTTTGATCACATTATCTATTTTGACGCTGAAAATGAACATCGAGTGTCAGCATGAAAAGGTACCTTAATGACTCCTACACACTGGACGCGGAAATGCTTACCGCGCGGCAAAATGCGACGCAGTAACCCCGGATCTACAATAAGTGTTTCAAGCCTTAAATCGTAAGAAATTGACCAATTACAGTCTAATTCGAGGAGAATAATCGACTGCGATTCGCTCATTTCTTTTGGCTTAAGGCTTAAAACCCTATTGTAGATCCGGGGTAACCAATGAATATGTTAGGAGCTGTAAGCTTATTGACTATCGCGTCACATTTTGCCGCGCGGCAAGCATTTCCGCGTCCAGTGTGCAGGGTCATAAGGGCGCGTTCACACCTTGACGTGGTTCTGTGTGGCTGCTGCTTTTCCGCTTTCTGCTTTTCCGTCAAGGTGTGAACGCGCCCTAAGACGTTGCTTGAGGGCGCGTTCACACCTGAACGAAAAAGCAGAAAGCGGAAAAGCAGCAGCCAATCAGAATTCGCGCTGGTATTCGACAATTTCGCCTTTTTGTATTACTTACTAACAGCCCGAGTTGTGATTGGCCACTGCTTTTCCGCTTTCTGCTTTTTCCATCAAGGTGTGAACGCGCCCTTACTTGAGGCCGTTGAAGGTCTCTATTTGGAACGCAGTCGCAGCGGTCACTAGCGAGAAAACGATTGGTTTGCCCATAATGCGCGCGCGGCCAATTAGCGATCGCGTTTCAGTTACTCCGCTGTCTCCGATCAATCGTACTCTCTCGACTTTGCGCGGGTAGATCAGCCACTCGTTGACGCCACGGCCAATCAGTTTTGTCTCTTCTGCGTGTTTTCGATATTTGTCGTGCAAATGGCGGTTGTTGCGGTGTTTTGTGCGATGCATCTACAAAATTAACTACGCCACATCGTTATCGCAACGTTTGACGATCAGAAACATACGATAAAGCGGATCGGCGCCGCGATAGCGGATTGTTCGAGGTCATGGTGAAGCTATTAAAAAGATTCTTGGCCGGTGATAAGGTATTCGCAAAAGTTCGAGGTTACCCGCCATGGCCAGCAAAGGTAAGTTCGTATCGAGACGCGATGCTACCTGGACGAATGTCCCGGTGACCATTATGTTGGACGTAGCGTTATTCTATCATCCCCCAAGAATGTCTGACAGGGATGTTGCGGGGTGTGGTAACGTAAATTATTCAAAAGTTGCTCAGATCGTCTTTGTTACTCGCGGCTGCGTCTTGGATGACCCTCGTTCTCGCTTAGGAGCGAGAAAAACGCGGGATCCATGCAGAATGTGAGGTAACATTAACGATAATCCGCCAAGTGGCACGTTACCAACCACGCTAATAAACGCGCGTCGTAAGTTATATTTCTGTCAATATTCTACTATATCAAATAATTGTATATGTATTCTTGGAGATTATATCTCGACATGCATCATAATGTATTCTCCATGAAGGAACATATATGTCAATTCTGTTTATCATATTAAAATTAATGCATGCTGCTTCATCTGTTTTGTATCTCACTTCATCTGTTTGCAGGTCGAAAAAGTCAATGATCCAAATTCCAAGAATGCTAAATATTGCGTTTATTTTTATGGTACAGGAGAAACGTAAGTAACTTATAATATAAACAATAATTCTAGTTCTTTGTAATGAACGATGTCAAAGGATATTTTTGGTGAAATATTATATTAAATCTTTCAGAGCCGTTTGCAAAGTTGACGAGTTATATACCTATTCTGAAAACAAAGAAAAATTCGGCAAACCTAGTCGTCGAAAATTCTTTCATGAAGGCATACAGCAACTTGAACAAGAACTTAAAAATGACAGAAATAAACCTTTAGCAGATATTGCTGCTATTAAGGGTAATTATCAATATTGACAATGAAATCCAAATTATTATTGAATATTTGAAAAATATATATTAAAAAAAATATTTAGATTAAATATTTTTTAATTAAATGGATTATTATAAATGTTACTTTGATAGGTGCTGAAGCAACAGAACTACCAACTGTCAGTGCTACAGACAGTGACATAGAAGCTGGTTCCTTGGTAATTGATGAAAGAGAAAAAAAGAAATCAGTGAAGAGGAAGGTCCTTACATCTACACCCAATCCTGCTGTAAGCAAACATTTATCTTTTGTTATTTGTACAAAGTAATGTTTTGGAGTACTACATATTTGACAATACTGTGTAAGAAAACAGCTATTGAATGAATGTACTCCAAAAGAAATTTAGGAACTGCCGACAAATATTTTTAAAGTTTAAATAGTTTGTGCGATTGTTTCTTACACTTTCATACATATATATTTTTATATAATATTTATATATATATATATACACGTAAGTATAAAATTAAATACATATACCGGCTTATATTATATAATAAATATATGTAATAATACAGCAAGATACTCCAGAAATAAAGAAAAAACGTGGTAGAGGAAAAGCTTCAAGTGATACCTCAAAAGAAGGTGCTTTAGATTCTCAAGGTGAGGAATCGCCGAAAGAGGTGGTTAGTCGCAGTGGGCGCAAGATCAAACCAAAACGATTTGCAGATTTTTCGAGTTCAGATGAAACCGAAACTAATATAGGTATGAAATTGTATTTATAACAATCTTTTATTATGATATACATTTTCAAAAAATCTATTCTACAACTTTATGAATAAAAAATATTCAAATATATAAATGATTAAATAATCGACTTTTTATTAGCTCTTGCTTTCAATTCAATGCACAATGTGTTTTTAATAATGCATTGAGTTCAAATATTAATCACATCCCAATTACGAAATCTAGTTTATTCCTTATCGATATCACAATATACTGTTATTCTTTGCAAAAGTTAAAATCAATTTCCCTGATAATAACTAATATTTAAAGGTAGGAGCACAGTAAAGACACCTATATCACATTTAATGGTGGATGAAGAAACCCAGACTTTTTCATCAGAAATATCTGAAAAATATTCAAGACTTAAGGAACCCAATGAAACTCGGAATTTATCTACAAAAGAATTAAAAAGATTAGTTCTTTTGGAACAGCTGTCATTAATTCGTATACAGAAATCTAAATTTTTATCTGTAAATGTAAACCTGTAAATTTTTATCTGTACAACTCCTACATCATTTTTAATTAATAAAATTTTCAATATTTGTTTTTTTTTTAATACTGTTTATCTATTTATGTCCCTACTTTTATATAATAGTTCTACTGAATTCTCTTTTTTAACAACTTAATTTTTATCTTGGGGAAAAGTATTTAATTTTGTTTATCAAAGTTTATTTTAAAAAAAAGTCGGTTATTTTTTATGTATTTGTATTTAAAATTATAGTATAATGCGATTGTAAATGTTACTCTGTTTAGAACATACTGGTCGAGGTCGTAAAATGAAAAACGAAGATTCTAATGAGCATCAAATGACACCTGTGACGCATAAAAAAAGAGCAGCTATTGAAAGTACGCATTTGTGTAGTTTTTTACTTTTTTAAATCTTTTAAATTAGTTACATCTTTAAAAACATTGTTTATTTAATTTATAGAAAGAAATAATGAAAGTTCCTTATTCGATGGAACTGTAGTATCGAGTAGTACGTCTTCTGATTCACCAAACCGAGTTCTCTTAGCTCGTACATTTGCTGGTGAATATGTGGGTATTAAGTTAGACATAGATAGGCCAAAATCTTTCGAAAGTGAAAAAGCTCGAGCACAATGGGATTGGTCAACTGCTACAAAAGCTATGAAACTCAAAGCACAATTAGAGAGTGGTGAAATGTTACCGGAACGAGTGAAAGATTCTCTAGATTTTAATGTACCTGTCCCAGAAGATGAAAAACGACTTTTGACAAAGGATGGAGCTGTTCATCGCAAAACATATAAATTGAGGTATGATGAGATATTCTGTTTAGCTTAAAGTGTGGCTTTATTTATGTTGTCAGTGTTGATTTTTACTAAACATTTACATTTATAATGTTATTTTTTAGATGGCTTCGTATAGAGGCTCAACTGTTACAATTAGATGCTCAAATAAAATCTAATCTTGGACTGGATCGAGCCAATACAGACAAATGCTTACAAGCGATGGATGAAATTTTGTCTCTTTCAATTGATCCTTTAATGTTAAAAAAACATCCTCATATTGTTGAAACAGTGAAAAGGGTAAGTAATACGTCGAATTTTTTAATAATATTACTTAATAATATTATTAGATTATAATAATTTTGTTTTTACTTTCATTATATATAGCTACGACGATATATTGGAAATCTAGGAGAGTGGAAATTAAGTGAAGAAGAAGGGGTATGTATAAAACAGCGTATGTCTTTATATTTTATATTAAAGATTTTATATTAAAGAAGCGTTTATCCTATTTTATCCTTGTTGTTTACCGAGTTAAAGAAGATTAAAATGATACACATCATGCGTGAAACGGAACGCACTCGTAATTTGTTTGTAAAATACGCAATAGGTAGCCGCGTTTAGCAGAACGTTTATTTTACAACTGTGGAAAATTGTTTCGCTGAGGTAAGACTGTTTATCTAGATCTAAAAGTATAAAAATCAATGCCTTAAATGGTCTAGCTGGATCTTAAGTGCTTGTATAATACTGTGTGACTTTATATGCTACGTACATAGTCTTTTAAAAATGCATGCCGAAATGATTTTTCGGTTTTTGAAACGCAAACTTTACTGAACTATTGCAGTAATATCATTAGTTAAATTGACTAGCAATTTAACAATTTGATGCTTTTTTCGTATTTTAAAACGAGCTTAATAGTGCTGAGTGACATATTAAAATCTGTAAATTAATTCTTTTGATATTACTGCGGAAATTTAGTAAAGTTTGCGTTTCAAAGACCGAAATATCATTTCGGCGCGCATTTTTAAAGAATTACATACGTGGTATATAAATTCACACAGTATTATACAAACACTTAAGATCCAGTTAGACCCTAGGTATTGATTTCTATACTTTGCGTTTCTCGGTAACTTATAAGATTTAATATTGTCTAAAAGTATGAGTCAATCTCAGCATGAAAAAATGTCCAACAGTTTCAATATAAACATTTTGCTGAATGCGGTCATGCTATATTACTTTTAGTCTGCAATAATAAATGTAACATTCTTTATAGGCTATTTTCAAGCAAAAAGCGGAACAGATTAGACAAAAAGCTGAGCATATATATAACAAATATAAGGTAATATATCGTATGTAAAAAACGGAAGTATAATTATTTAAATTCATTTTTACCCTATATTTATCAACTGAAAAATATACAGGCTATGTTTACGATACCTGAAGGTCAATCATTTTGGCAATCATTTTCCGATCAAGTGGTCCATTTCAAAAAATTAACAAAAGATATGCCTGAAGAGAAGGTATTTTCATTGATGTCCGACCCTTCTTGTTCAGGTAATTTTGCTATTTTACATTAAATAAATAGTGAGCAATATAGATTCATAAATCTTTTTAAAATAGTTTCTTTAAAATAGTTCTAAAATAATTAGAAATTATATATCAAGATTAAAAAATGTATTTAGTGATATGTATTTATTATAAATATTGATGTGTAGATACAAGTATATCGGAGGATTTACCTGCAGATGATAGTGGTAATCAATTGGATACAGATGTGATTCAATCAGAGCCAATAGTGGAACGAGAGGCACAGTGTGAAATTGAAACTGAAGCGGAAACAGAACCAAAAACAAATACAGAAACCGAATCACTAGCACAAACAATAGCAGAAGCAGAGTCAGAATCGATTGCTGAAAGAGAAGTAGAAGCAGAAGCAGAAGCAGAAGTGCCTACTAGAACTGAGAGTCTTAAAGATGAAACAGCAAAGTAACATATGTAAAACTTTTTTTATCTAATAATATAAACTTCTGCTTATTTTCTTTGTGTGTCATTATGATACTATAAGAAAAGAGGATATAATTAGAATACATCGGGCGCATTCATAAAAAGTTTTGACTATTATAATTTTTTCTGTTGTATATGTGGCAAAGTATTGTTTAAAAATGCATTCTTATAAATGTGACTTCTGCAATAATTATGGGGAGAATGATAAAATTTAACTTTTTTAGTGAAAAGTAACTAATATGCTTTATTCCATATTTTATATTCGTTATTACCTACATTGAATATAATACAATGCTTACATATACAATTATGTGAGAAGTATATTGAAATTTAACTAAACAGTTAACTATTGATTTCTGTTATATATTCACGGGTTTATTACATACATTTATTGTTCATCTATTTGCATTATTTTTAACAGAAGTATAAACAGGGTTGGTAAAAACTAATATATATATATATATTTTTTTTTTTTTTTTTTTTTTTTTAAGAATAAAACACTGTGTTTCTTCTTAAATATATTTTTAATGTTTCAAATGTGCTTTAAACAGTACTACAAAAAACATTAAAAACATCAATTAAGCATGTTTTAAATTGTTTAAACATGCTTAAAACATGTTTTTTACCAATCCTGAGTATGAGATAAAAATTAACTCTTACATATATAAATCATGCAAATAGTTGTTCTTACAATAACGTTGGTAATAATGATATCAAATTAAGAATTAAGAATTATAAAAGCATCTTAAAACAATTATATGAATGCAATCGATATCACTTTTACATACGTGGAAATTAATCTTCTAAATTAGTTCTATTGTATTTTATTTTATAAATTTATAATCACATATTCGCATAATATAATTGCAATATACCTACATTATTGATGCAATATCTGCAATCACTAACTGGACAATATCAGGTAAATCTTCACTGTCAGATATTATCGAATACAAATGGCTGATGTAGTGGATAAAATTAGATGAGATACATAGTATTTTTACTTGACAGTAATATAATGATGTCATGTATCGAAATACTAATCTTTGTATATTCAGCCAGTGCCATGAAAAAAATTTGTAAAGAGCACTCAGAACATTGTTACTCTCATGCAAAACTTACTTATTTAGTTATCATAATTGATGTTAGCAAAATAAATACTGCATAAGAATTATAGCGCAATGAATGATACAGATGTAATTTTTAGTACTTGCATCTCAATTTAACGTAAGTTTTCCAATTTTATCTTTAATTTTCTTTATTAAATGAAAACATTACTCATATTCATCACATTCTAAATATAAAAATATGTATTATATTATTGCATGCTAACGTTTCTTTAAAAATATTTATGATATGATAAACATAATTGTTCGTAAAATATTATTGTCAATTTTCTATTCTGTGTAATTGAATTATTACTGTCTTCATTAAAAAATCATTACTATTATAATGATTATAATAAAATTATATAAAATGCTTGTGAAATTGTACAAATTAAATAAATTAACAAACATTTTCGGACATTATCACATCTTTGACATGGGCGACATGGCAATTATTGTAAACATTTAATGATTGGTAAGTATTAAACCTTATTTTGTAATTAATAGTACATATCCAATATATTACAAAAAAGAACAGAAATTAGTAATAATGTAATTTTTGTATTGAAATTTTCTTGTCGAAAATTAAAATAAATTATCGTAACGAAGAAGTTATGGTGTCGAATATATTTTATCCATAGATTTATGTAGATAGACTGCGCATTCATATGCGACAACTAATGATAACATTGAAAGACAAAAATATACATAGTTAGAAATATAAGAATGAGAATAGGAGAGAGAAAATAATCCGCATTTCTTTTCCAGAAGAGAAGTGATTGCGTCTCCTTTTGTTCTCCTTATCACGTGCATAAATAAGGAAAACTGCATTTCTGCTGTTCCCTTTTATCAATGTTAACATTTTATTTTTAATGGAGCGCGCAATCTATCTAGGTTTGAATCTATGATTTTATCCTGCCAGTCACATAAAAATAAATTAATTTCCACAAAAATATAAAACAAATGTTTTAATTACATTAAATTTTAGGAAAATTATACTCAAATGTATATTTAATAAACACATAATTATATTTTATAATTCTTTATTGATAAATGCAAATTTCTAAAGGTAATCTTATTTATAAAAACGCACATTTGAATTTATGATTTTTAAAATTAAATATTTTATTACTTTTTTACTGTAATTACATTTTTCATTTATTTCTTTAAAAAAATTCTCTAAATATATTTGTGTACAATTAAATTTGAAATATTTGGTAATATTTTATAGGACTAAATTTATATTTTATTATTATTGCTGTCGATGCTGTTTGTCACAAGATAAATGTTTTTACAAACTTTACGAAAATTACTTGATAATAATTGAAATTTAATATAATAATGTATGTTGCACATGTATAATTATATTGTACGTACATATATTTATTATAAAACCACATTACAGTGATTTTTTTTTTAAATTTATTGAACAAGTTAAATATCGAATCGAACGAATAAATTTTCTTTTAAGAAAAAGCTATGAAATCAATATTTTTTTTAGATGTAATTATTGCTCTTATGGAAAATTCTAATGAAAAAGAGGAATATATTGCACATTGTGATAATCATTCATGGTCATCTCGATGTACGTCGTACTTTTCATATCATAAGCAGTTGCTATTAAGTTTTTATAGTTCGTGTATTATGTGTAAGAATGATATTCCAGATTTGCAATCTAAGACCATAAAAATATTTACAAAATATTTACAATAAATCTTATAAATATTAATAAATATTTTATAAATATTTTGTGTGCTATCTGGGATATATTATCACGGCTGCAATTCGTTCGTTCAGTTAATAATGTTATACAGTATCATTGAAAACTGATGTACTATTTATTATTATAAATGTTGAGCTATCAAATGCATGTGTCATATAAGAGCCTTTGAATGACTCATGACAACGCAATGCTATATTTCGAGTAGGCTTATATTGTTAAATTTTTATGCTTTTAAGATACTTGAGCTATTTGTTAATTTATGAAAACAGATTATTATAATGGACGCGCTACGTATTATAACTAATTAGCGATTTGTAACAACGGATAAAAAATGTCATTATATAATATTAAAAAATAATATTAAAATTGATTATTTATATATTTTTTTACATAAAATCTGAAAGAGAAAATGATATGTAAAATTATTTTTTAAAATTTTATTTTTATTAAAAATAAGAATAAATTAATTATAACTTAATTAATATTTGTTGAGCAATTTAGCAATATATTTAACAATATGTTATAAAATTATTAATTAATGTAGAACAATAAGAAACGCGAATTTCTAATCATTATTTTATAAACCTCTATAACTTTCAAGAGATATATTTTGAGAAATTATATTTGTAAAAACCTGAATTATATTTATAAAAACATTACTAGAAAGGTCTGATGTAAATGATTTATGTGTGTACTTGCATTAAGCAGATAACTAGAATAGATAAGCCACGAGTATATACAGGGTGTTTGATAAGTAACAATAAAACTCGCATAGGGGTAGAGCAGATTAAACTGAGTCGAAAAGTCCTCTACCAATTTTCGCAAAAGTTAACAAGATATTAATTACTAAAAATCGCCGAATATTGGTTTTCAATAATTTTTTACTTAAGTACTATCAACTTTACAGAAAAATTGCAAGTAATAAAAATTGTTTATTTTCTTCTCATAGAGCTCTAAGAATTTTTTGTTAACTTTTTAGTACTGCATTTTCTTATTGACAACTATTTTTATTAACATGAGAAAATATACTAAAAAATCCTAAAAAAATTCTCAGAACTTTATGAGAAGGAAATAACCAATTTTTGTCACTTGCATTTTTCTGTAAAGTTGATATAGTACTTGAGTAAAAAATTATTGAAAACCAATATTGCTCTCATTATTTTAATAGAAGTTTGCTAAAGTGGCAGAAGTTAATTTAATGCTAAAATGTCTTTACATAATCCATAAGAACTCTAAATGATGATAATAATATTGACATTGGTGATTATACAATATTGTTATTGATGACTATACTACAATGCAATTATGCAGAACTATTATTTTGAATCATAAATTTGCGCTGTAATTAACTAGCATTACAGTTGGAGAAACTAAGAAGAACGTATTATCGTGTGTGTATATCACATATACAGATGATAAATATTTGAGTGGATGTCACTCTAACAATAATAGTCGTAACAATCGACTATTTCCATTGCAGGATCCGTGTCGACTAATACAGAGCTAAATTATCGATTTTATATTCCTTATGCGTTTATGACTTTCATTTAATATTTAATCATGTTTTGCATACGTGATGTTTGCGAGAAAGGTATTTGCGGAAGCATCGCTACATATGTTCAGTGCTATTTCATAAGAATTATAAAGCGCAACGTTAATTAGAATACATGTGAAAATTTACCGAACTCGCAATTAGTTGTATATGACGTTCAAACGGTCGCAATTAATTTGGATTCAGAGCAATTGGAAATACAGATATCGATAAAATTAAACTCTTAAACTGTCAATTTATGAATGATGCACCCGTGAAACGTTTTAATAAAGAAAACTTAAAGTATGCAAATTAAAAAACTATGTACAAATGTCTCGAAAAAGAAAATATTAAGAAGATTGAATTGAAATAAAGAAAAGATTTATAAATCATGAAACAAGGCAATATGGATAAATTGACAAGACGTAATGAAGAAAAGAAGTAGATATTAACTTAGAATTAAAAAATTATGGAAGAAGATAGTCATTGCAAAAATGTCTTCGATTCAGTTAAGAATTCAACTTTCATGAACGTTAATAAAATCTCCAATTCCTTTAAAAATATAAATAATGAAAATTCTACTGCGGAAAAAAATAGTAAACAGAAAATGAACAAAATAAAATCAGAGCTACAAGATTTATTTTGGACGTTCAGGATATTGATAATGTTCTTCAAGCTTATCGGTCTTGTTACATTCGCCCACCGAATCGTCATATACAAAAAGAGA